TCGCTGATGCAGCGAAAGCATTCGGTGAAAAGATCACTGGACTGTTCAGAAGAGGCCCTGCGCATCTTGACTACCCTGTCTCAGATAGATATGACGGACCACTTGACAGCACGCCGCGTTCCCATGACATCCGTGGTGAACCGCTGACCCACCACGTCAGTGTGTACCACATTAGACACGATGAGAGACGGATATCGAAACCGGAAGAGGAACCTGTTGTCATTGCACAGGAAGCAAAACCAGTGAGAGAGAAGGACACGGGACGTTTCAGAGGAGGTACTGCGCTTTTTGACTATCCTACCTCAGAAAAATATGAAGGGCCATTGGATTCCGTTCAACGTATTGATGACATTTACTCGACACCGCTCACCCATTATGTATCTGTTTATCACACCGGACGCTCTGATCGGCATTTGCGGGAGCGTGAAGAGGCGAACGGTGATCTTCCGAAGAGTTTACGGCTAGCTGAAACTGCAGTAACATCCAAGGGAGACCTTAAACATTTTGACTACACTGTGACGGAGCGATATGGAAAGCCCTCAGAAAAAGGGTATCGTATCTCTGGCATGAATGGTGATGCTGTCAAGCCTTACGAAAGTGCTTCTCGCTCACGAGATCAGATCAGCAATGAACTGTTATCTCCTGAAACCAAGCCTCTGATTGGAGATATAGAAACACGCGATGTGAAAACGGATATTGCCGCACAAGAAGAAGTGCGCAATAAAATTGATCTCGATGTCTTCTTTAATGTGAAATCTCGTGAAGACGTCCGTAAGGAGCCTGTAGAAGAAGACCTTGTTTTTTTGAGTGCCGACAAGTTGGAGCGAGATCAGCAACCTGTCGGTTTTTCCGTATCAATAAGTGCGCGACAGCCTGTTGACCGTACAAGTTCTGAGCTGTTCTCTTCTCCTTCAAGAGAATCGTCATCAGACACACGGTACCTGCGTGAACACTCCCTGAGGAGCGAACGTGGTCGACGACATCGACTTTCTCCCCACACTTGGACGACCGTCCGAGAACGCACGGAGGTAACCTATGTGAGAAAAGTGCGCGTTGAAAGATCTCTAAGCCCTCAGACTCCAGCTCGTTCGCATTTCATCAAGAGAATACCTTACAAGCCGAGCCCCGAAACTCGTGAAAATGTATATTCATGCAGACCATCGAATTTCGATGAGCGCGTTATGGTTCATCATCCAATTTATCCTCCCAACGAATCGCTCTATCGTAATGGAACTTACAATGGCGATATGCGCAACGGTCGAACCTATAGTCCAGTTCGCGAAGTGGCTGCCTTCGACAGAACAGAATGGATTGATCAACATCCTAGCTACATTCCTCCAAATCGCCGAGCTGACGAAATTTTCACGGTTGGCACGCCATTCATTATGGGTCATGTGGAACACGATGGCAACGGTTGCGCTTATTTACGCTATCAAAGCAGCGGCTTGCAAGAGCGCACTCCTCTGCCGGAACGCATCGACGATCTCCCAATGATTGAAGAGGGAGCAATCGAATGTCGCCGTGCTACCGTACGGGCTGGTCTACGCGACATGGACACAGTCGGCCTTGTTCAGGATGAGGAAGAACTTGAACGACGACGTCGACCAATTCGACGGGCCAGACAGCGCATGCGCAGCTATTGCACAATGCTGTAGACATTCCTAGGCTTCACCAAATTAGTTTTCATGTAGTTACCGTCTCTAATTATTATTCAATTCTCAACATTGTAAAAAATTACGAATCTGGTGCGAACGACGACTAAGACTATGACGATTTTCTTAATTTCTTTGCTACCATACCATTTGCTGACGACGCTTGCTTGACGGCATTGCTTCGGCTGTTGTTAATTGTAATGCCAGCTCAGATTGTCTAGCAAGTCTACACATCTATAGCGCCATAGAACTTTTATTTCATAGATTTCCTTGATTTGTTATATCGTTTTGTCAACGTTGTGGGTTGTTACCAACATCGTGCACCGGGTAATCTCATTGTATAGCTTTCAATAGACGCATGCTCGTTGTTGCGATTATTTTCTCTTTATCTTTAATAAATATAAATACTATATGTTTCCTGTCTTCACTAAATAAAACTGCTGACGCTCAAAGGAAGAAAAAGATCTGGGGAGATTTCGACGACAGAGCTAGGTCCTAACTTCATATTAATAGTACGGTCAAGACCAGAACATTTTGGAGTTCTACGGTTATGGGGTTGCGTACAACTGAACTTTCCTAGCTGTGTAATCTATGAAGAGAATCAAAAAACGACAGTAACTATGCTCATTCATCGAGTAGAAACACTGTGGGTTATCTTTCTTCTGATTGGGATTGGCAACGGCTTAAAATGGATGAACATTGGGTGGTTTTGTGGGTGGGTACTGATGATGCAAACTTGAAAATACTTGAAGCCAAAGGGCGTGCATCCCAGTCAATGCTTTTCTTGAATAACTTATGCAACCAAAATTTGCCAGTGACCCTCACATAGGTAAATGCAAAAGTGTAACGCACATGAAGGGTTTATTGTTCAAGTAAAGGATTGCCCAATGGGCACACGACGTGGGGCCAGCGCTGTACAGCGTGTGGTTGATTGACTAAAGTTAGAGTAGCCCTTGCTACAAATAAGCTTCAGTGATGACTGACTACCAGTAACCGTTTCACTATTAGACGTTCAGAAAAAAAACTGACAGTGAAAAATGGTTATGTAATAGTCGAAAAACCCGAGTCAGTGTTGATTGAATACACATCCACAAAAAAAAGTTAGTAAACGAGTACCACGTAGAAGATATTCAGTTCTGCACAGTAACTAATAGTACTAATCGAGGGCAGGGGTTTGCCGAGCCCAATTTAGGGGTGGTCAGACATGATCAAGGAGGGGGACGCGCGATTCACGCGTGACCCCATTAAAGGTCTTCGCGCACGCAGCATCGTTTCAGTACCTTTCTGTTGAAATGGACCAAATATATTTGCAGTAGTCGACAGCTTCACCGTGAATAGAGCAAATCTCTTCTTGTTATGGCAAAAAAAGCCCCTTCGAAATTGAAAATTCACCTCATAGGTCAACAATTTACTTGCCAAACGTTCAATATAAGCATAACTTCAAATTCTCTGATCCTAGAAGATGCAATCCTTCTGTAAACGTGCATAGTTGGTCATTTCTTTACTTATTCTACTTATAAGTCCTTATTTCTTCCGTTGTGATGGTAGTCATGATGTTTTAGCGCGTTTTGTACGATGACCTCATTACATTGGCGCGTGAATCGCACCACACCCGATCATAAGGACCTCGGCCGAAGCTGAAGTAATGGTAGAAGATGCAATAACTATGAAAAAAATGGAGACGGCTGACAAAAACAGCGGACCCTGTGACCGCGTAGGGTTAACCCTTGGCAGAGGAAGAAGTAGAAGAAGATGTACCATAATCCAATGTGGTTCCAAATTGGTGCTACTACCCTTATTCATCTCCAAACAATACTTTATCGCGACTCTGTTACCTTATATCGGAGTAAGATAAGAGTTTAATGGCGAAAATGTAGTTTGGGTGGACACTGCACTTATGCGAAATTTAGCGCTTGTAGCAGAGGCGCAGCCGACTTTGGAGACCATATTGGTGCTAAGGATTATTTCTTAGTCAAGAAAAAAGTTTTTCTTTTCTGAGCCCTAGGAGGAAACTTCTGCCCGAGGTAATCATCTTAGCCAACCGGTTTTCCACTCCTCCTAGAGCCTAGGTAAAACCTAAATTCCTTTGTCTAGGAACCGTATCTAAGAACAAGTGAGGTCGGCTACCCCTCATTCTCAGCGCCTTAGCGCTCAGTGTTGGACTTGAGCGGTGCCCTCTCCCCAACTAAATATTAGGTTGATGCATACAGGATGACCCACACGAAGTGTGACGGGCAATGAAAAAATCGACTTATGGGCTTTTGGGCTGGAGGATACGGTGATCCTTTGGGCGAAAAAGAACGCGATGAAAGTCAGCTATACCTTTCAGCAGGATTGGGCATAAGCCCGCAGCACAAGGAAGACGCTGCAATGGTTTGACCTTTAACTTCCCGTATCTCAATCCTTTGGATTTTGCTGTATGTACGATTCTGAAGCAAAAAACCTGCGCTTTCAAACACATGTCTTTGGACTCTCTGAAAAAAAGCTCTTTTGTAGAAGCGAGGGATGAAAGCGATTGCGCGCATGCTTGAAAACTATTCAGCGAGGTTGGATGCTTGCTGTAAGACGGAAGATAGTCATTCTGAATGTGAGATGTGATTTATGGTTTACAATTTTGTGATGACTGTATAGAAGTGAATGTTTCCTAATTAGTTTGTTTTGTATAATTTTGACGCTAATTTTCTGCGTTATACTTCATGTGGGGCACCCAGTAATTATTGCGGCTTTTTTTGCGGCTCCTTTTCCATCAATACAATTTGAAGATTGAGTTTGGGTTTTGTATAGAAATGGTCTCCATGATTTCCTCTACAAAAGTGTGTCTAGAAAACCATCCGCATGTTCGCATAATTACGCTCTACTACTTCGAGAAAAGTTGGATGGTGGCATGGTCATTCCGCGATCTCAATAA